CCCCCCTCCACTTGTTCTCATTGGCTAGTTTTCTGGGTTTGTTTTCTAGGAAGCCACTGAGAACAAGTGGAGGGGGGAAATCGTATCCTTTTGTTACAAAAGTTCCGTGCCTTAGTCATTACTCATTATTAATTTACATCATTTGACTTTTTGTTCCCGTTGTTGGTTTTGATTTTTTTTTTCAAATCAATCGTTATTGTGTAAAACTACAAGAATTTTTTCTAGAACACTGAGTTACCTGCATTATATAGTAACTCATATTTTTTAATTAATAGAGTGCTTTTTTTAGAGGTTTTTTGGGATGACGAGGGGAGCATGTGGATCAAATGATCATCCTGATTCAAACCTCTTCATACAAGTATTTAGATTGATCAGTACTTACTCTCTCATTAAACCTCCTAAAGGCAGTAATATTGTGGGAGATGAAATACTAACAACTTTAATACAGGGTAGTGAAATTATTCAACAAACTGAAAAATATTCTGCCGAGTTTGCAACACATTTGGACAGTATAATGGAGAATTCTGTTTGGTTTACGGATATATCTGCTGAAGAAGTTGTTTTAGATCATGATTATTCTGTAGATAGATCTGATTTATTGATAGCCTACTTTGCTGGATATATGGCCAGGAAATCAAACCGATTTTCAAAATGTGTAGAGTGTCATGAAAAATTAAAAATTAAAGAACCCACAGGAAAAGATAAACTCAGAGTATTACTTTCCCATGGACAGCTAATATATAATTCAGAACTTTTATTTCAGCTTACAAAAACCTTAGAAACAACTTTTTTGCAGGTAGTTCAGTTACAGACCTTGAATATAAAAACGATTTTAAATGTAGCTGAAGCACTCGAACATGAACACGTTCCGTTAGTAGGATGTTCCGAACATGCAGAAAGTTTGACTGAAACATTAATCCGTTTTTTTCTTATTTCAAGAATGTTTATTTTGTGTAAAACTGTAAATAGTATCAACAAAACTGATAGAGAAAAAACAAAACTGCACTGAAAATTTGCTAAATTTTGAATTTTATTTTTTTTTTTCCTTATTTGTCTTTTCATTATTTGATTTGACAACGTATTTAAAATTTAATATCAAAATTTTATATCTTATGGACGAATTTATAGAAATCAAATTATAGTTAAAGTTATTAGTTAATTCGTCATCAAATTTTAATGTGAAATTATCTCGCAAACGTCATTGTGTATATTTATAATAATTGGAAAAAAATTAATGAGACTTTTATAAATCCGCCCTAAGTTTTTTTAAGTATTATAACTTATTTTTCAAATTTTTTGTGTAAAAATTAGTGTAGTCATTGTTCATGGACATTGCATGCATTTTTACAAATTTGGATTTTTAATATGTATTTTTTTTACAACTATTAATAATAATTACAATTATTACTTGATTCACGAAATTGTGTTTTAATGTTAATCAAATTGTAATAGGTACTTTATGACAAAAACATATTTTATAAAGATTTTTTGATCAAAAGTTGTTTGTTTTCCATTAGCACCTGTGTTAACCGAGCGTGGTTTGTAACATATGCGCCCTCTGGTGTTGTTTTGGTAAACTTGATTTCTAACTCAAGGACGAGTCCATTTTTAAAGCGTTGCGTTTACCACCTTATTATAGTCCTCCGTAATAGCAGCACATTAGAAAACAAATGAACGACAGAAAAACTAAACAGTTTGACATTTGCTAAGGCTATAGTTTATTTCTGTTGGTGTGATAACTAAGTTACATTTTGTAGTGTTTTGTTCTCAAAAATGCCACGTTTGGGTTTTAGTAATGAGGATTATTTGAATCTGATTATAATTTACGGAGAGTGCAACCGAATAATTGCGCGTACGTGTCGGCTGTTTACAGAAAGATTTCCAACTCGTCCCGTACCAACTAAGGGTATTGTAAACAAGCTATTAAAGAATTGTCGGGAATTTTGAACATTTTCTCAAAAATTTATTAAAACGAAACCTGTTACTGACAAAGAGGTAAATGAAACCATAATTCTTGCCTATTTCACTGCATACCCCTAAAATTCCATAAAAGATGCAGAAGTAGCTCTTCGAATTCCCTGGACTAGTATCCACCATATTTTATTAAAACATAAGTGGAAACCGTTTAAATTTTACGATGTTCAGCATTTGAAAGAGGGAGACTTGGCAGCACGAGTGGAATTTTGTGAATGGTTTTTAATTAAAATACAAGATAACAATTGTAACGCCAAAAAAAATATTAATATAAAAATAAAAAAAATAGTGTTTTATTACTAAAAGATTCTTTTCACGACCCCGGTTTTGTTGCGAACTCCCCGGCTTAACTCTTTCGGAGAAGGGAGGATTCGATTTATTTTTGGCGCCACCCGATCCGACAATCCGCAACTGGCTCTGAACGGGAAGAGTAGTGATAAAAAAANCGTTGTCTTTTCTTGTTTTCAGACATACATTGGAGTACACGCCAAATTTCAACAATGAGTAAAGTTAGAAAAATTCAAATTTAAATCAAGGATTTCTTCCTCAAAATAACGTTAAAACCTCAAAAGATGGATGAAAAATGTGCTTTAGGAGCTGAACTATAATAATTGATACTTTTGGAAGCAAACAAAACGGTTTAAGATAAGATTTTCACCAACAAAAATCTCTGTCACAATTTCTAGGTTATGTTCTCTCGGTGAACTAAGAGAATGTTAAAATTATCACAGTACATAGTAATTTGTAAACGAAACTGTTTGGAGGTTTAATATGTTCGGGGAGTAAAGGAAAATGCTGTAAAAATCGTGTAATTCTCTTGGTACCGATAAATCCGCTTCTATCATATATCCATATTCAGAATCATCGGCAACATTTAATACATTAAAATTTGTATCATATAACCAGCTAAATTCATTAATAGGCATATATTGGCTTTGAGCCCAACCGTATAAGTTAGTTGCATCCCAATACATTAAGTATGTATGAAAAGGATCTCCATCAAAATTATTGGGATCGTATGGATTATTTGCTTTAGCATACCGATGAATGGATTGAGGAATTCCGCCTCTAATTCCTTTTTCAATAAATAAAATCATATCAATATCTTTAAGGAGCTCCAATTTTACATGAGTTGATTTCAAGGTGCAGTCCAACTTAATCCTGGAGCAGTGTAAAATGCTGCAGCGTCTAATCCATAATGATTAATCGTTAAATTCCGAACATTTTCAAATACATCACACAAAAGAAGCACATCCGTCTTTAAATGAATCGAAGTATGCAGAAAGGGCATATGTCAAAAAATACATTTTTTTGAGAAACCAAAAAAACTGTTTTTTAAGTTAACAAGCTTTAATTCGTAATTTTAACCTACGTGATTTATTGCAATAGGTATCTACCAACATTATAACGAAATAATATTAGCTGTATAAATGTATTTTTAAATGAGGAATATATATCAGGGCGGCAAATTAGGGAACTCGGAGCAGCAATTCTTAGGCGGCAGAATATGTACTCCTAGCGGCAAATTAGTGATTCGGAGCGGCTGTTCTTGAGCGGCAGAATATGTACTCCTAGAGGCAAATTAATGATTCGGAGCGACAATTCTTGCGCACCAGAACATATACTTGGACCGACAAATTAGACTCTATTTTATCTGAGTTTTATGAATTACTTTTAATACTCTTGGTGTAGGGTGTGCAAAACACTGGATTTGAAAAGTATGTACTTTATT